TGTTTGTTGCACAAGTGAAGCAAGCGTCTTGGCCTGGCTGCGGCCCATCGCTCGACAGGAACTCGCCGCCGCCGATGGGCCACTTCGAGTTGCCAATGGTCAACTCCAAGTAAACCTTCAAGAAGCGCCAACGCTTTTCTTTTCAAAGGAAATGCGCATGATGAATTCTGCCATGTTTTTCCCCGCGTTGACGTGTGGTTTCTCACCACGTTGACGTGTGGGGTTTTTGTTTTTAAAGTGGTATCCGCTCCTCCTTCCTCCTTGCTGCTACCCACCAACTGCCACCCACCAATTGCTACCAACCAATTGCCACCAACCAATTGTCACCAACCAATTGCCACCAACAAACTGCCACCAACCAAGTGCCACCAACCAATTATCCCCAACCAACTGCCACCAGCCAAGTGTCCGCTCCTGTGTCTGCCGATAATTTTGGTTTTAGCTGTATCCGCTCCTCGTCTCCTCCTCGCCCCGCCGTGCACCAACCAGCAACCAACCACCAACCACCAACCAACCACCAACCACCGCCAACACCAACCGCCACCAGCACCAACCACCACCGACTACCAACCACCAACCGCAAACCAACCACCACCAACCACCAACCACCAACCACCAACCAACCGCCACCAACTACCAACTACCAACCACCAACCACCCCCCACCCACCAACACCAACCACCCACCACCCACCAGCCTGGGAGTTCTGTCATCTCCGCCGCTCTGCCGGTGTGATTTGCGTGGGAGGCGCAGCGCTTGGTAACTCAAACTTGTGATTCTATGATGAATATAAAACACACTGATAAATTCATTGAAATTCCTTCTTGTGATGACCATCTCATAAATACCAGAATCAGATCCACTATCTTTACAGTATAAATTAAATCGATAAAAAAGGGTAAAATATGATCTGAGCATTGGACAGTGCCATTGGGCAGTCATGATGCGTTTGGCTATGGTGGCGACGTCCGATTTTTTGAAACTAATGATTTTTCCCAATTATTCAATTTTTTCGGCAATCAAGGGGAAACGCGAATTCTATTCTGGCACCCGGAAAACAATTCATCTGGCTAAAAAAGATCAAAGTCCACATGAATGTTGGAGCTTTTGGAATAACAACTCTGATTGGAACAACACTCTTTTGTGCATTGATTTAAAAGCCAAAGGCACGAAAAACACCCAAAATACACTATACTTACAGAAAGGATCTCAAAACCACTCAACCGAGATGTATGTCATAAACATAAACGATGATGTGTCCATAAACCACTCAAATGAAACCCGAGCTTGGAGGGCTGCCGAAATTAAAGCGTGGAGAACATACAAAGAACAAGGGCATCCTATGAACATCATGTATTCCTGCGTGTGCGAATACATATCCTATCATTTGCTTAAGTGGAATATAATCCTTATAAGGTATTTATAAAATTTTAAGGACACGGAAAATCAATTTTTCGATCTGTTACATCAAACTTTATTGCGTATCTGAGGAAATGTAAAGATCTTCCAAAAGGCTCAAGGTATCTAATTTCGGACGAAAATTATGATATAAGTCCCTAATTTGCCGGCAATGATCCCATATAATCAATTTTTTTTTAGTTCTTCCCTTCGACCAACAAGCGCACAAAGGAAGCCGCTGCAAGGTAGGGCAGGCAATTGTGGCTGTGCTCTGTGGCCCGCGCGCAGTGCTGGTGGCCGGGGTGAAACGTTGAAAGTCACTTGCCTTGTGAATTGGCTGCTTGGTAGTCCGTTCCAAACGGGTCCGGACTTCCTTGACAGAGTTGGAAAACTCGGGCGCATCACGACCAGACGGTGTGAGCGCCAGCAGCTCTACCAAATCTGGATCGCTGCAAAACATAAGACGTCGCCGTCGAAGTCTGCGCCGCGAATTGCGCAGGCCCACGGCCCAAGCCGGGTACAGTACAGCGAATTATTGCAAACATGCTTTGCGTGTTTCGGGAGGGGACGGCCACCCAGACTTCGACGTCCCAGGCTGGAGCATAGGGTAGCTCCAAACAACAAATTTCCCTACCCACTCACAGCCATAAATTACTATGTGGCACTGTTTGTCCTGCGCAAGGCTCAAAGCGCATGGACAGATCCACGAAACAGCCTTTGTCAATTTGCATGCTTCACAGCCCGAACAAACAGACAACGGCATCTTCGAGGCTAAAAGAAATCAAGTTGCAGCAAGGCTCCTTCAAAGTGCCCCATGTGTCTGTCCACGCCCTGGCTGACCCTTGAAAGGCAGCGAGGGCTTGCGGTTGTGGCCATTGACCATAGCATTGAGCCGCCGGCGCCCTCGCATCAGGCTGTCTTTCGTGCCTGCAACTCTTGAAAGGAACTTTGATTGCTAAACTCAACTGCAAATTAACATAATTGCCAAACTTGAGCTCTGTGGCCAGGCTCTGTGTCCGGGTCTTGTCCTCCTCTTGTCCTTGTCTTGGCCGCGCGGGTTTCCTGAACTCTGTGGCCTGGCTCTGTGACCGGCTCTGTGTCTGGGTCTTGTCCTCCACTTGTCCTTCTCTTGTCCTGCTGTTGTCCTCCTCTTGTCCTTCTTTTGTCTTCTCGCTCACCAACCCTGGGCACACTGACTGGCCGCGCCCCTGAACTCTATGGCCGGGCTCTGTGACCGGGTCTTGTCCTCTCTTGTCCTGCTCTTCTCTTGTCTGTCTTCTCTCGTGGCCGAACAATCAGCGATGTCGATGCCGACAAAGATCATTGATAAGGCAATGGGCTAGGTAGGGCATACCAAGAAATCATTTGAGTAAAATTGGTCCCAAGAACTGGGTTTGAAATTGGGGTCTATGCTGGTATAATTGCACCTTCTATCTTCAGACATGACTTTGGATATGGCATCCTTGATCTTCTTGCTAGCAAAAACTGCATTGGGACTGATCCTGATCATGTGCTTCATCAATGTTGACGTGGGGCCACCAAGCCATTCCTCATTGGGCGCACTCTTCCATGTCACACCACCTTGGGATTTTTTAACAGCTGGGAAAGACCATTGCTCCCAGCATCATCCATGAACTTCAGGAAGCACCTTTGGAGATCCCCCACACCAACACTGGGATCTGGATGCAACCTGCTCATAGCCCACAGAGAATGATATACAAAAACAAGAGTTGGTCAGCATGAGTTTCCCAATCTGTGCGCTGTGTGATGGCTGTGCTTTGCAGTCTGTTGACACGCTGATTGGCTGCTATGTTGTGCTTCTGCATTGTGAATGCTTCTTGCCAAGTTCGGGTTTGCAGCCACTGGCTCAAAGGCACAAGGGAATTGCAGCCACCAAGTACAAGCGCCAGCGTCAAAAATGTGAAAACTTGTAAAACAACAACAGCAACTGTAACACCCTCATCAGTAAACAATCTCTCCCTCAACAATAGCCAACAAAACTCAACAATAAAACAGCATTTTTCCTAGCAAACCATTAGTTAAATAGTAGTAATTTTAAACTATCAGTTCAACAAAAACTGACTATTAGCTTAAAAAATTGTCTACAAAAGTATAAAGTAGTTAAAAACAAAAATGGCTACTAGTGAGGATTTTGTCTTTTAACTGTTTAGAACATGGTCTAACCCGATCCATTGGGTTAGTCTGTGAAACAAAGTGAAACCTAGTTGACTTACAGCACTTTTGAAAAGCGCGAACTTTTCTCTCAAAACCGAAAAGGGCTGCAGGCGAGTTGACTGTAAGTGAGATGTCAGGGATACAGCAAGTGATGATCACACCCCAGGTCATCATCCTGCCCCCCTACACATCACACAATAAATCACAACAGCATCAACAAATTCAAACAAAAAACCATTTCACCGCAACCTCAACAAAACTCACAAAACGCCCACAACAAGTCACAAAACAAACAAGCATCACAACATCACACACCCCAGCACACAACTTCACACAAATTCACAAAACAATTCACCAAACTTGCTCGCCTCTACCAAGCCCCAGCATTTCATGAAGCATTTAATGGAACTCTCCCCTAAACTTTATAAAAGATTTAGGGGGAAGTATTTTTAACCTCGCATCCATCCTACGATACTATGCATATTCTCCGCCCATCCGGCCAATGGCGGAGGTTAGGGCCTCAATGCTTTTGGTGGCCAATTGTTTTCAACCTCCTTTCAAAGGAGGTGCGCACATAGGTGGGAATTGGGGGAAGGTTGTCGCGAGTGCAACTCCCGGCCTCGACGACGCCCGCCCCGCACGAGGATACCCACTGCTTGTACCGGGCCGCGCCGGCTTACCGGACACGACCTTCGGCACAGTTGTGCCTCTGTGGCTCTGTCCACGCCGTCGCTCCGGTCTTCGGCCTCAAACCCCTCTCGGTAGGGGTAGTAAACCCCAGCTGCCGGGGACCCAGCCGGGGCTGTGTTCCTCGTCGCCCATGTCGCGCTGAACCTCAGGAGTTGTTGCAACGCCATGGCTGTTCTCCGTTCTGGATGTTCTTCGTTTGGCACTATCTCCTTTACTTTTTCATTGATGGTTCAGTCTGCACAAATGGGCACGTGGCTTCTGGAGTGGACTTCGTTCAGCTTTACTCGGTTGGTGCCCCTTGCGCCCTTTTGCAAGAGAAGATGGATCTCAGGCGGGCATCCTGCTCACCAGCGCTGTGATTCCGTTGGAATTGCGCTTGGCAACTCCTGTGCAGTTGGACACATGGACTGAGATCAAGTCTTCCTTAGCTCCCCATGCATTCAGTTGGATATCTTCAGAGGCATTTAGTATGTGAGACATTTTTTCATACCAAGAGCTGTGTTGAACTATCAAGACCTGTGCCCTTGTACCATTTTGTTTGAAGTCATTGCGATGCCCGGCTTCGGTAGTGAACTGGATGCTCCAGGGTCGCGCCGGAGAAGACCAACCACCAACCACCAACCAACCAACCAACCAACCAACCACCAACCAACCACCACCAACTACCAACCACCAACCAACCACCAATTATCCGCTCCTGTCTGGTGAAGTTGTTAACATGTGGGGTTATCTGGTCCCATAATTTGATTTTCCCAATGGTTAAAATGCTCTTTTTCCCTGACTTGGGAGGGAACTTAGCATCCATATTGGTCGGCATGTGGGATGTTCTTCATTGAATCGTAGATAGTGATTGGGGATTGGTCTCGAGGCTTCTGTCGCCATAAAAGCACACTTGCTCTAGTCTGTCAATCTGTCCAAGCATACAAAAGCATTTTTTTTGCCCGATGAGGCTTGCATAATCTAACGCCCGAGCCCTCTCTGCTGCCAAATGCTCGTTTGCAAGCGACATGCGACACACCTTGAAAGGAAGGACTCTGAGTCTGATGACACTACGTCGGACAACATGCAATGCGTAATTCAAATAGCCACAAAGTACCAATCCAGAGCTTGATTGAATGGAAATGAAAACTGCGATCATATCACAGAATTGGCATCTATTGAAGCCTGCTCTACCTTGCTGGATTCTGGATCGTCCGGAGCTCGCATCTCCTGAAATGCAAGGAGCAGTTAGCCACTCTTTTTGTTAGCAATGTCAGCAATGTTCAATGGTGGCTTGAAGGGCACATTTCATGTGTCCCGAGTCCCTCTTCCAAATCCCCAACAGCCAACTGAACCCTGTGGTTCTGCCAGGGTAATTTTGCACACGGCACAGCCTCTTGCCAGTACTTGCACGAACGCATTCAAAAGGCAATAAAATGGTCTTGAATTTCAGAAGTCTCTCTTCTTTGACAAAAATACATCAACACTCTCCTCGTTTACGAATCTAAGAACCTCTTCATAAACGCTCTGGTTCTCGAAGAAAACCAGTTGTGCTCGCGCAACGCCCCCCGAGCGCTCCACGAGGTCCACCAGCGGCTGCAGGACCTCCGCGCTCGGGGGCTCCGAGGCCACCAGCGTACGCTCCGAGGCCTCCGGAAGTGTAACGTCTTCACTCGGCTCAGGTCTTGAAACACCTTTTCTCGTTCCTTTTCTAAAAAAGGGGTCGCTTCGGAGGGTTTTTTTCCACTGCGGCGACGTCGTTTCTGGACCAAAAAAAGAGTTGCTCGGAACACCGGCAGTGCCCTGTCCCGCGTCCTGGAGCTTCTCCAAGGTCTCGGAGCTCGGCCGAAGCCGCCGCCACTCGGCCAGGGCCGAGGCCAGAAACCTCGAATTGAAGCACTGGTTTCCTATGGAAGATGAGGAAACAAGATGGAAAGGAAATTGAAACAACAAGATGAAACAAAAAAAGCAAAGCTTCAGAAAGTCGAAATCAATGGGAACATCTTTTGACAAAGAAGTTGCGGGCCCGAAAACAAACCTTTTCCAAGCCGTCGGAATCAGGTCAGAATCAGGTTTGGGATAAGTTGTTTTGTCTTAGCATTTGCTTCCACTTTCTCTAAAGACGCAACTACTTGCAAATTCTGATCACTGCTGCCGTATAAACCCTATCCTTCTGGCAAAGAAGCTTTCACTAACAACTGCATAGATTGGAAAATCCTAGAACCACAATCAGCAGCTCCCCTTACACTGCAAATACGACGGGGGTTCCTTACCACCTGTTGAGCTCATTCTTCGGCTGAGTGCGAAACCGTGACACCACGGCCACACCTGAGAGGTCGGTGGCTGTCGCTGCCAGCTGGTGCAGGGGCACTGCCTGCAATCTCAACTTCTTGTTTCTACGTTCGCTTCTTGTTACTAGTAACAAGTGCCACCTAGTAGTAACAACAAGCTATTAGAATTAAAATAAAATAGAACTTAAATTCATAGCTTCTTGTTACTACTAGTATGGCACTTGTTACTACTAGCATGGCACTTGTTACTACTAGTATGGCACTTGTTACTACTAGTAAGGCACTTGTTACTATTAGTAAGGCACTTGTTGCTACTAGTAAGGCACTTGTTACTACTAGTAAGGCACTTGTTACTACTAGTAAGGCACTTGTTACTACTAGTAAGGCATTTGTTACTACTAGTAAGGCACTTGTTACTACTAGTAAGGCACTTGTTACTACTAGTAAGGCACTTGTTACTACAAGTAAGGCACTTGTTACCACAAGTAAGGCACTTGTTACCACAAGTAAGGCACTTGTTACTACTAGTAAGGCACTTGTTTCTAATAGCTTCTTGCTACTACTAGTAAGGCACTTGTTACTACTAGCGATGCACTTGTTACTAGTAGCAATCTTCTGACTGAAGGACATGCCATCTTGGACTTTTTTCATGCGAAAGAATGATAACACTTCATGTGGAATTCCACCCCTTGGCCAACACTTTGCACCAGTTCGCATTTGCAAATTCCGCTTCTAGATTTACAAAAGCAAATGGCTTCACCGCAGGAGATGCGCCAAGTGGAGAGGAATGGTTTCTACATGCTTCATGCGCTTTCGCCCACCTCAGGCTGCGCTTTTGGCTTTGCTTTGGGCTTGGCTTTAGCTTTGGCCTCCAAGTGCCCGTGTGCGAACGTTAAAACACCTATGAGCTTGAAGCGTGAGCTATCCTGCGTCCACTGCCCTTACAATAATCAAGTAGGCGCCTACTGAATTCAGTCAGGGCAGGCCAAACCAAAAAGACAAAGAAAAGAAAAACACACATTAACAAGAAGCTACTAGGGGCTCCTGGCATCGCTACTAGGAGCAAGAACGCTACTAGGGGCTCCTAGCCGTACTACTAGTAACAAGAAGCTAGTAGGTTGGAGGCCATTGCTTTTTTTGGCAGAAGCTTCCTTCTCAGGTCCCTAAAGCTCAGCCGTGCCCGACTCGCCTGCTGCTCGGAATCCGAGTCCGAGGAGATCTGCCCTTTCTTCCTTTTCAGCGCCTAGTCGAAAGGAGTCCACCATTCTAGTGAATGCTTGTCCCCTCCCACCTCTGCCAAGCCTTCTCATCAATAAAAGTGCCACGTCTTCTTTCCCAACGTTTCCCTAAAAACCTAGGAACCAAATGATTAGTGCGAGCGCTTCTTCAAGGAAGCTCCCCGCTTCCGACCTATCCTGCGTAGGTAGTAGCATCTTAGTAGCTAGTAGCCACCTCTCCCTACTAGCTACCTAGCTACCTCGACTCGGCCTCCCCGCCGGGCCAAAAATAACACTCTCTTTGGAAAGCGAAGGTGAAATTCCTGGGCACCTTCTTGACGTCGAAGGAGTTGAAGTTGATGAAACCCGACATGGCGGACGTATGACGGACGTCGTGACCAGCGGATTGGCTATGGTGACGTGATGTTTGTCAATCTGACGGTGCGGTGGAGCAGAAAAGTTGTGATCATGGACGATCTCTGTATCACCGAAGGTTCTGCGGGTGATCTGTGATTCGCTTTGGACAAACAAAGATCTCTACAACAAAAAATTGCACATCTTGGTAACCTTTTCTGTACTCATGTGTTTCACAAGCTTTGGGCAAAGCGTGCCATGCCACTCAGGGTGGAAGCCATCCCAACATTCGGAAGCTCTTCTTTGGAAAGAAAGTGCCAGCAAACAATAGATGGACAGTGAATAGGTTGGGTTGATCTTTGCGATGATGGGTGGATAGGTTTGGGTCTTGTCTTCTCCAAGAGATGAACGTCAATTGACTGTTTGGTCCTTCGGGGCAGTGACTGCCGGAAGCATGAGGCTTGCAGGCACAAGTATTTCAACGCTGTCAGCATTTTCACTTGTCCCGTGCTCCCTTTCTTTTCTCATTTTCCCTGATCAGACTGGCCAGCAGGGCACTCCCAGATTCCGATGTGAGGAAGCTCCAACGACATCCCCACATGTGCGCAGGCCAGACACTTGCTTGTCTCTCGGCGGCTTTAAACCTTTGAGGCGATTGAAATTCGTGCAGCTTGTCGAATGGCACCCTCACACAAGCATGCCTTGAATCCTCAGGGGCGCGCCATTGAGTCCTCGGCAAAGCGCAGATTGCAATGCGTAGATCCAAAGAATATCTTCTTGGAGATGCAGCTTCAACTGACTCAGACTGAAAGGCCCTTTCGGGTCAACAAACTCAGCAGTGTAGTTCTGTGCTTAGTCTACTTACCCCTAACATCCCCTAACCCAAACGCTTTTCGTTTAAAAGAACCATTCCGTACATGCAGTGTCATTGCAAAAACGGCCTGCAAAGAGCCAACCAGCGACCACCTCACCAACGTTTCAGCTGTTTTGACCCCCTCCCACCAGATTGAAATTGTTTCAGCTGTTCAGCACTGTGTCCAACTGAAATCCAGGACAAGCGATCTTCAGCGATTCAAAGCTCAAACTGCAGCCGTCCAAAGGTCAATTCACTCCTCTTTTTCATGTCTTCTGCCCATCCAAATAGGCGCTCGCGGCTCCAAACTCGGCTGGGGCCCTGGCGCCACTTGGTGCGTTGTCAACGCCGGGAAGGTGGCAGCAATTGGTGAGATGCCTCCCACGTCACAGTTCGCTGGCTTCGTCAGAGAATCTGGGAAGGGAATGGCAAACAAAAGAACGAAGCAAAAAGGGACTAGATTCCATATTGAATTGATTTCAAACAAATAAACCTTTCTAATGTAAACAAAAGGAGGGATATCTATTGAAAGGATTCCATATTGAGGTGGTTCTTTGAAGGCACGAACACTTGTGGTGCTCCAATCGTACGGTCCAAGGATTCCAAGTTTCGGGCCTTGTCCGTATCCAATCTTGGCGTGTGTGACGTCTCAAGTGGTGTCTAAATAACATGATACCTCTTGTCAAACCACCATGCAGGTCGGAACATTCAAAGCTCTCTTTTCAGGCCCCTCTGCGCAGTCTTCTTTGTGCAAACAAATCCAGCGGAAAACGTCACACTGGGCGGACCAGGTTCAAGAAGCTTCGGACGCCTCAAAACGGAAAAAGAGTCTAGTTGGTGAAACGATTCCCAAGGAAGCTTCTTGTAGCGATCAAAGACATAGTAAAAAGCTTCTTGTTTCTAGTAGCGATGGCCTCCAACCTAATAGCGATGGCCTCCACCTAGAAGCCAAGACCGGCTTGAGGAACTTCTTGGAGTTGCAAAGCGTAGACAGAACCTTCTTGCGATGGGGACTGGTTGACCCAATTCAAACATTTTCCGGCAAATGGCCTCTGTTAGAAAAGCTGTGCTCTAACCATTTCAATTCAAGCTGTTTTGGCCAATGAGTTCGGACACACCTAAGGACCCTGGTGTTGGAACACACACAGCTCTTGTTAATGTTTGACATTTGGAGCCCTACAAACCTTGCCATTGCCAACTGTGCCCCAGAACAAGTTGTTTTTCAGTCTCGGACAATTGCAAAGATGCACACACGAAATCAATTACAATCCAGTGACCATACCTTTTCTTATCTAGGATATCTAGGCGCGTGCGCCAATGTTGTGCAAGTCTCTGGGGCCACCCATCTATCATACTGAGTGGACCACGCTGTTCAGAAGGGGTTCAAACCAAACAAATTTCCAGCCCCCAACCTGCCCGAAAGGGAGTCTCTGTGTCTCATGTCTGCAAACGTGGCGTTCTTTTTCTACCCAGCTTTGCAAGCTGGCGAAGTCGCGAATAAAACTCTTCAATCTCTTTGCCCGAACCGTAGTTTCATCTCTGACAAGGCACTGATGTTTGGCGCCTTGCGTTGGCCCTGCTCCTCAATCTTTGCCCACGGTGAGCTTGTGCATGAAATGATTAAAAACGAATGTAAACACCCACACACACAAAATTTGAGGAGGACTTGGTCGAACACCCATAGTATCAGGAGGATGCATGAAGAAGTACAAATACTTAAATACAAAGCTAGGACATAGCCTTGCGGAAGAAAGGATTGTTGTCTCTTCCCCTAGAGTGGACACATCTCCTGTGCACATGTCATCAGAAGGTGAGGGGCAACGGTTCCCGCTCCTCTAGCAACATTTTGGCTTCCCCCGACTCCACGCCAGCCGACTGAAGGATCTTCATCCAACCTCAGCGTCATTCTTGCAAGTCTGGGGTGGCTTCGTCAAAACTAACTGATTAGGCAGCCCTTATGGGTGTTCCAGGTTTGCGGTACCGCCTTCCGAGAACGTCTGGAGTAGGGCAACAGTTGGTTCTGTCTTAGTTAAGTCTTAGTTTTCATCTTTGGAGAGGATGCTGCATCGTCTTTGGTCCGAATCTAAGATAATCTAACCACCTCCATGCCGGTCCGATACCTCTAAGATGGTTACTCGATCATTTCATTTCCCAAGCTGCTCTCCCAGCTGAGGATGGACTCGGCTCCCAAGGTAGATAGGAACAGCTGCTCCACCTGACACTGAGAACCACCAAGTCACCAAGTGACTAGATGTTGGAACTCACGAATCCCTAGGCTTGCCAACAGAACGTTCTCTTTTTTCTCTTCGAGGTGATTTCATTGGAAGGCACCTTTTCGCAATGCTGCACAAATTGAAGGATGGAACCATGCCGAGATCAACTGTTGCAAAAAAGGATCAAAACAAAACCGTCCCGTAGAATCCAACTCTGCTCCAACATTCACCAACCTGCACCGCCCTGCCATTCTGGAGAAAACCTGCAACCCTGAAGTCCGTCCAAATTCGGATCATGTGTCCCACCACTGCAGTTGCTTCAAGCCTCTATTACAACAACCAATGCTCGAGTTTAAACAAAGGACCATTGGGGATCACAAATAAAAGACAAATTTGCGAAACAAAAATGCAAGAAGGCCAAACAGACTTCCTGAACTTGAAACAAAGCTTTTGGCACCAACACACTGGTGCGCCCTGCACGACATGCGCGCCTCCTTCCAAGAAAAATTGTTTTCTTGAGGCACTACTTGAGCCTGCGAAAAAGAGTAGAAAAGGCGCGCTAGAACGTCAGTTTCCAAGACGGAATATTGAACTCATAAACTGAGATCGCGAGTTGTCCCTGTCAAGAAGCCAACAGGGTGGTATCAGCTGGTTAGATCAAGGTGCAAAAGAAGAAATACGGCAAACACACGATTCAATATGGCGCACGCCGGCTAGGCTGCCTATCGTCTAACCCTCTCTTGTGCAAAGCTTTGTGGGCTTGGCCTCCGATGAAGCGCCAGATCCCTCAATTTCGCCCATAGCTTCAAGGCAATCGGTCCAGGTCTCCCGAAAAGCAATGGCTTGTGGGTGCTCCTCCGGGATCCCCTCCATGCACCAAACTCGTATTCTTCTTTTTCGTGGACACGTTTTCACTTCACTTTTCGGGGTCCAGTCGTGCACAAAACATCTTAACAAACACTTATCAGCACGAAACCAACCGCACACTGACTTTGGAAGTGTCAGGGTAGGCATGGACGAGGCCGCTTTGAGGTTCTGGAGGTCAATTTGAGGTGATACCTTGCTGGTTCTTTTGGTTGAGGCTGGATTGGGTGGTTTTCAACTAACTTTTTCCCCAAACAGTGTGGCCACACGAGGGGTTCTTACGGTACGTGTTACCGGGTGTTTGATCGGAGGGGTGCGAAACGTGACCGGCCTTCATTCGCCTCGAGATCTTCGTGCATTTCGGCTGTGCAGGCTTAGGGATGCTTGGCGCGAGCGGGTGCTCTTCGAGACTGCGCTCTCGTTGTGGCGCCGCGCGCGTTTTCGGACTTGGTGGATCACTTTTCCTGACCGGCGCAGGGGAAACCTCGTGTTTTGGACATGGTGGTGGCCTATTTCGTGGCAGACGCAGTGAATCCTGACTTTTGGACATGTCGCTCGTTTTCAGAAGTCGCAGGAAATCTCAAACGAAATGTGTGTTGTGGCAACTTGATGTTGTCTTTGGGCGTGCTCTTGCTGCGAAACACCATGGCAGGGCAGCACGAATGTATATCTTGTTGTGCAAATTTCGTAGCAGGCGCAGCACTTTGTGGACCTTTCAGCGCAGATTGGCACGCGCAGCAAGTGCTCTCATATGTGTGCTCTGCTTGCTCTTATTTGAGTGCGCCCTCATGCCTGTGCTTCTACATATAGTTTTATCAGATCTCTAGACATCTCCCATGTGCATACTGGACTATGAAGGTTGCCTCGAGAACTGTTCAGGCTAAACATGTATGGAAACACTCCAATCAAAACTTGGAATGTCCCAGAAAGCAGCACATATTGGTGAACACATGCATACTAACTGAACCGAAGCGAACCGACACTTGGTGAATTCAAGAAATGATGAACACCTGAATTCACCAGGTTTTCTCCGGATTCTGACCAAGTTTCAGTACTTCACCAAGACTGCATTTCAATCGTGCTGCATTTCACTCGTCAGACATTTTCAGATATGCTTTCCAACACACCAAAAACATTTATTC